AGTAGTGAGAGAAATGGTCTTAGCAACAGTTGCTGTTTGCTGAGAGCCACGTCCGGAGTCAGACGCTGTGCTATTGGCCGTGCAGGTTCAGGCCACAAAACCAAAATCAAGTTGTTTTCCCCTAGTACTTTACTGAGGTAAAGTTTACAGTGAAGGGAACAGATTGTCACCTGAGTGACTATTGCCCAGTGAAGGTATGGAACATTTCCAACAAGTTCCTCTGTGCCCCTCTCAGTTAACCACACCCCTCACCACCCTACCACCCTCCTCGCCCCACCAGGCAACCACTATATGTATTTCTATCATTATAGTTTTGTCTGTTCTTGAATTTAATATAAGTGGAATATGCAATGAATTCTTTTCAGTCTGGCTTCTTTTGCTCAACAAAATGTTTGGAGCCCGTTGGTGTGGCTGCACCAAGACGTTGCAGGTCCGATTCCCGGGTTGCCGGCTGGACCCCCAGTAGGGGGCGTGCAGGTGGCACCCAGTCAACGATTCTCAAAACGATGTTTCTATCTCTGTCTCTCTCTCTCAAATCAATAAAAACACATTAAAATATGTTTTGAGATGTGTCCATGTTGCTGCACACATCAATGTTTCGTTCTTTTTTATTGCTGTGTAGTATTCCACTGTATGGTTATACCAGGATATAACCAATATAGTTTTTCCATTCACTTTTTTTTTTTAAATGTATCTTTATCGATTTCCGAGAGAGGAAGGGAGAGGGAGAGAGAGATAGAAACATCAATGATGAGAGAATCATTGATCAGCTGCCTCCTGCACGCCCCCAACTGGGGATGGGGCCCGCAACCCGGGCATGTGCCCTGACCAGGAATCGAACCCCAATCGCCTGGATTCTAGGTCGATGCTCAACCACTGAGCCACACCCGGCTGGGCTCCATTCACTATTGATGGACATTTGGTTGTTTTCAGTGTCTGGCCATATGAATAAAGCTTGTACAGGTATTTTTATGAGCATAAGTTCACTTCTCCCTGGTAAATACCTGGAAGTGGATTGGTGGGCCCTAGGTCATGTGTGCAGCTTTAGTAGATCCTGAAGTGTTTTGTCTTTTGTTTTTTACAGTTTACATTTAATATTTTGTATTAGTTTCAGGTGGGTCCTGAGTTTTCCTAAGTGATAGTTACACTTCACACTCCCACTAGCACCCTGTGAAAGTTCCAGTTACTTTCAGTCCTTGCCCACGGCTGGTATAGTCAGTCTTTTGTCAGCTATGTTTTGATTTGGGGTTTCAAGGGAGGCTAGTGCAGCTAAGCAGGTCAAAAAGATAAGCCTGCTCTAGCATTCTAGTCTCCCTAAGCCCATGACACAGTTTTCCACCACTGTTTTTCAAGGAGGTTCTAGCACTTCAACTTTATTTAGTCAAGGCTATCTTGGGGTCTATTTTCTAGACAACGCATATAAAGCTGAAGTCACTAGAGGTATAGTTTCAGCCAAAAAGCCCAATGAAGAGAAATCAGTCCATCCAGAGGGAGGCTTTACATACTATAAGTAGATATTGTAGGTAATAATTACACCATAGCACTTATAAATCACCTGCTATGTGACTAGCAGGGCCAGGATGAGAGTGAGGCATGCAAAATTTAAGGGGACACCAAAAATAAAACAAAAAACACCTCAGTCATCAAGATAAATAATACTTGAATGCACTATTTGAAAATGAAAACGTTTTATTTTGTTTATTCCTCATCCGAAGATATGTTTTTATTGATTTTAAAGAGGAAGGGGGGAGAGAGAGAGAGAGAGAGGGAAGGAGAGAGAGAGAGAAAGAGAGAGAAGGAGAGAGAAGGAGAGAGACAGAGAGAGAGAGAGAGAGAGAGAGAGAGAGAGAGAGAAGGAGAGAGAAGGAGAGAGAGAGAGGGAAGGAGAGAGAGAGAGAGAGAGAGAGGGAGAGAGAGAGAGAAACATCACCGTGAGAGAAAAACATCAGTCAGTTGCCTCTGGTACACACCCAACCTGGGATCAGACCCAAAACCTGGGCATGTGCCCTGACCTGGAATTGAACTAGAGACCTTTCTGTGCACAGGACAACACTCAACCAACTGAACCACACCAGCCAGGGCTTAAAATTTTGATATTTTGTTCATTATAGATTTCAAACAGTTTGATTCTGCACAACTGGTCAGTGTGGCTCAGTTGGTTGAAGTGTTGTCCTGTGTACCAAAATGTCTCAGGTTCCATTCCTGGTCAGGGCACATACCGAGGTTACAGGTCCCATCCTGGTCGGGAGGCAACTGACCGATGTTCTTCTCTCACATTGATGTTTTTTTCTCTCTCTCTCCTTCTCCCTTCCTCTCTCTCTGAAATCAATAAAAACATATTGAAATTATTTTTTAAGTAGACAGGAATCAGTAATAGTGCTGCGTGATGCCAAGCCGTGTTGATTCCTGAGGCAGAAGAAAAAGATAAAGATTACTGGTGCTGTCTTTATTTGAACTTTTTGCATTAAATTTTTAAAATTATTGCATTAAAACATGTATCATGAGTTTTTTGGCACCCCCTTAAATTTTGTACCTGAGGAAATGACTTCACTCTCCTCACCCTAGGCCCTGCCCTAGTACTCAGCCTTGTCCTGAGAAATCTAAATACAGTGTGTCCCCCCAAAATGGATACACACTGTAACAGCTTATAGCTCAATTTTGAAAATGAAATGTATTTTAATACATACTGCCTTTATAATTATTCAGTGTGTGTATACACTTTTTAGGACACCCTATATATACACAGATTGAATCCGCACCCTACGAAGAGGGGTGTGTTTTAGCATATTCATTGTCAGGTAGGTGACCTGAGGTCCAGAGAAGGTTAATCTCCCAAGGCCCAAGGCTGCCAGGGATTTAAGTCTAGGCCATCTCCCTCCATTAGACTTGGCCAGCATCCTGTGAAAGTAGAGAGACCAAAGCCTGGAGAAAACCATTTCCCCTGGGGATAGAGGAGGTGCCCCAGGAAAGCAGGTGGGAGGCAAGCTTGGGAGTAATTAGATCATCTGAGATGAGTTGTGGAGGAGGTCGCTGAAGTGAGCTGAGTCCAGTTGAGAAGTCTGGGAAAACGAAAACACTCCAGTACGCCCACCATCCATGCAGCCAGGGGAAGCCAGGTGATTCAAAAAACAATCACCTCTCCCAAACTATATATCCAGAAAAGGAAAAGATTAGAGCCTCCTAAGGTATACCCACTACAACCACCCAAGGTTAACAAACATTAACATTTTTCATATTAGCTTGATCAATTCAGAATTATTTTAAGATATAAAAGATTTAAAACACACCTGCCCAAATAGCTAAAAAGACTGACAGTGCCAGGGGCTGGAGAGACTCTGGTGGGCACGTAAAATGAGAAAGTCACTTTGGAAAATGATTCGGCAGTTTGTAATAAGGTTAAGCAGGTTTCTCAACCTCAGCACTCTTGCTGTTTGGGCCAGATCATTCTTTGTGGTGGGGACTGTCCCATTGTAGGGTATTCAGCAGCATCCCTGGTCTTGACCAGCAGATGCATAGCAACCACCCCACCTCCAATGGTGACAACCCAAAATCTCTCACATCTCCAGACATTGCTAATGTTCTTCTTGGGGGAGGGGACAAAATCAGCCCAGATGAGACCCATTGGGTTAAACAGGCACCTACCTCATGATTAAACAACCCTCTTAGGTAAAGCTATAACAGTACATGAAATACTTTTTGCCCACAAAAAGATAACCAGCAATGAACATTATTTATGCATAATAGCCCCAAACTGCAAACAACCCAAATGTCCATCAACAAGTGAATGAAGAAAGAAACTTCATTCTACATCATGGAATACCTTTAGAAATAAAAGGAATGAGCTATCGATACTCATGACATTATCAATGAATGTCAAAAACATGTTCATTGTGAATATACTAATGTAAATGGGAACAGAGGCCCCTTCCCATGCTCAAGTCCATCAATAAGCAGCCTGTGAGACCTTGGGAGCCTCGCCAGCTCCTCAGTCAAGAAAACAGATAGCAGTTTTGAACTCACACAGCTTTTGAGAAAACACATCCCCCTCCCCCTGCATGCCCTGTTTTTCTCTGTTTTCTGTACTCTATAAAACCTTGTGGTGGGAAAGCACTGGCAGGCTGCCACTTCCACACCCACCCTCCAGCCAGATGGGACTTGGTTCAACTTCATAGGTCAGCCACCACTGGTGCACATATAAGTCATAAGAAACCCATGTCTTTCACAGCCAGTCCTCTGGGTTATTTCTTTGGGAATCCAAGAACAATACATTGAGGTTTTCTGGGATCTCAGCACTTTGTATAACAACTAAAAATCACTAGAATTCACACTTAAAAAGAGTGAATTATATGGTATGTGAATTTTATTTCAATAGAAACAAAACATGTTGAGAGA